CTCTAGACCTTATAGTTGATTCGTAGACTTAAACTACGCATTTTACTTTTATCGTTTAACATAAGAATATCTTCTACGGTACATTAGCTTGGTAGCATAACTATAGGCCATACCAAAAATTTCCAGCTGAAAACCCCTATTGTAGAGCATTACGCATATAGATAATATATTCAATACTGATATGGCGATATCTTTTGACTATCTATTCTGAAGTTTTCAGTTCTTGGTCAGAAATTGCTTAATGAATGCCTTCATCGGCAAATTTTGTCTATTCAATTAACCACTTCAGATTTCTAGAAATTTGCTTTAACCACTAATTGTCATTCAATTTTAAAATGTTAATCACGTTCAATAACTCATTCTTCAAAGTCCCTTTTGCTAAATTCTATGTACTCAATAAATTTAGCAATTAGATTAATGTATCTACAAATGCGGACGTGAGCATCAAAGAATAGCGCATACAAGATTTATTTTGCTATATTGATTCATTTTCGACAAAATTTCTTATTAGTACCCTCCAAATATCTTAAATCAAGTTTGTTTCTTTACCATAATCTAACTAAACATAATAATATAAAGACAATTTGAGATATTACTGTAAATGAGGGAATCTAAGTTTGCAAAAAAGGTTGTTGCTTTATCAGCTAGAAGAATAAATTTCTCGATTCTACCAAAATATCACATCATAATCAGAACAGAAACTATTTTAGTAAGCTCCCAATAGCGTGTAGTATGAAATTCGGTATATACATACGTATAAAATTACACCCGTGTCATAACATAATCATACTCAGTACTACACGTCGATAATTTCTAATTAAAGAAATTTTAATCTTCGTCAAAACGTACTTTACAAGAACTACTGTAGTTATATATTAAAATTGATTAATTTCCTAATCTTTCTGACTTCCTCAGGCTGTTGCTAGCATGCAATCTTTCAGCCGACTTTGACTAATCATTAAAATTAAGATGCAGGAGTAAAGAAAAGAAAAATCGCTCATTTTCGTACTAAACCTCCAAAGCAAATATACGATACTGTTATTATAATTTATTCTTGAATCCTTCCTGTGTTCTCTTTCTCAATAAATATGTTATAAAGAATTAGTGAATAGGCTACTACCTCGAGATCAAAGTCCTCACCTTATTGGCTTAAAAAATTAAATAAGAAAAATACTATATTTTAATAAGAAGTAAGTAGTACAATAGATGGTCAATCTTGAGTAGATTTTAAATCGGTATTAATGCTCAAGTGCAGTTGATAACTTAGAAAATATCATGAAAATATATTAGTTACTTATTTATCTTTGAAGTAATTAATGAGTGAGAAACGAATTAAGTAGTAATTTTCGTATGATTGACCAGTTTCTAAGTCTGATGATTAGGCTAAAGGTTGGAGAAATAGATATATAAATTAAATCGATTTCGGCTGACGGGATTCTATATAATATACAAGTGAAAGATTATACATGCAATTATTTCATCTTTTAGAATTAATAAAATTTTTACAGTGAGGACGATTAGGCCCTCTACTTTTAGAAAATCAATCATGAACTAATTCTTATTTTTCCTAAAGTTCACATAATGTTATTACCGCAACGATAATAAAAAGAGCCCCATCCCAACTCTTTTTAAGGGTTTAGTTATTATTATAACTAAAAACAACTGCAATCGTCGCAGCGGGTCCACATTTACCGTCCATATGATTCGTCCCATGAGCCCCTGTTTTTCTCTATTACACTTGATGAAAATACTCGTTACTAACATCCAACACTACTTGTTTCCCCACCCGCAAAGATTGATATTACGATATCTCAATCACATTACTCCCTACGAGTACGGTATATGATTATCTTGTATAATTATTAGAAGTATATTACAATCGTCGCTACACGTGTCCTCTTGCCTATCTTACATAAAAAACTAATTGAGCATTGCTTTCAAATCCCACTAATCTCAAGGAGTATCGGATGGCCTACAGAACGAAAATTTAATTTTTTCTAATTTAATTTCCAGATGATGTAATGTTATCATAGGATTTATATATCTGTATTTAAGTATTATCATGTTCCATCACCCAATACCACTACTCCAACAGAAATTGTCGACAAAATTACATTACCCGTAATTACAAGACTACCGTATCGCTTTTGACGAACGATTATCCTATCCAAAATGAAGAAAGTAGACCACATTAAAAAAATATCATTAGGGAATTTCAAGACAGCTTTTCTCCTATTATTGCTACTTGATCCATTGAAAGCAATGCAAGACATTCCCTCTGTTTGCCTTTTGTTTAAAATTGATTTCTATTCTTCTGCTATTATTTTCTTCGGCGAGGCAAAGGCTTTTTTTTATGCTTTATCGATTTCATTTTAAATACAAAATTGACTTTGCCTTCATATTTAGGGTAAGAGTTCGAGTGCATGCGTTAATTATTTGTATTAGCTTAGAAAAAATGTTGATAGACATTATTAACTGGGCTAAATAAAAATCTGTGAAGCTCTATCCATTTCTGATTATCAACTGGATTTCCTTTTATATCGAATTTTCCGTATGAGTAGTACAATACAGTATTATTCGAGTAAAAACAGAACTAGTCATCAGTCATTTATGGACAAGTCGAAAATTTCAATCTGTATTAACCATAAAAGCCCAAGCGTGAGTCATCACACACCAAAAGTATTTATGGAGTTTTAAGTGCCATAGTATTTCAAGTAAAGACTAGATCATTTTTTATCTCTGCATGAGTTTTTATGAGAGAAAAATAGCAGAAATGTTATTGACATCGGATAGAAAGTTTTTATCCTGTAACCCATTTAATGACCAAGTATAAATCGAGAGAAATTAAGTAACTTTCTCGTCTTCATTAAATTGAAGTATTCAGCATTAATTTATAATATCTGTCTAATTAAATGTACAGTAAAAAGAATAGAACTGGATGTTATTCTTGGCGTGTTGTCTACTATTACCAGTATGAATCGATAACAATAATTGACAATCGTTTTTAGAATAGTTCATCATCGACCATCAGGCGTTCTTCCATTATGATCGTGCGAAGTTGATATTAATGTAGAGAATTTACTCTTTCGATTGTCTCATTAACTACTTAGCGAATTATAAACTTTACCTACCCTGATAATGTGGTTTACCGTTGTTATACTATTCCTTTGCTTTTCTAATAATAGTCATATGGATAATAAAAATTATGAATATCATGACAATAAGAATGAAACTATCATACAGTACTTATTCTTCTTTTTATTCAAATATTTTTCAATCCTTTTTTTCTAACTACGTATTGAAAGAACTAATTTAAACAAGAATAAGTTTAAATAACATTATCCATAAAATTACAAAAATCCTTGAACTTTATCTTTGCCATTAACTATATCTACTATAATTTAAAAATCTTTATTTTATTCGCGGATGAAAGCTTAAGGAAATCAATTTCAGCTGTAACTATACTGCCAGAGATCATTACCTTATAACTTGTAAAACGAAATAACTCTACTTCCCTCTCCATGTGAATACAACGCTCATTAATATCTAGTTTATTAAGTTAATTCATTCTTCTCAAAATAATTTTTGTGAACTACTGATAAAACACAGCACGATGTTCATTTTCCTAAAATGTAAAATAGTGGCAATTGCTCTTCTACACGATCGCTAGCCCAGCAATATTGCTGTATTAATTTAGATGATTCTGAAAGATAGAATAAAGGACACCTACCGATCGAGATCTGAAGTTAGAGAATCTATAACGATTAGACCGTGGTATATTCAACTTTTGTACCGCAAACTGGATAGTTAGTAGAGTTTTTCTAGTGAAGGATATCTGTAATTGTCCCTTTGAAAATCTTTTTCTTTTTATTCTTAAACTAAAAAAAGAGAAAGGATTCTTCTTAATAGAATTAATGTTTGTACTTGGTGCATAGTAACCCTATGTTATCACCATAGCTGCAATTTCTACCTTAATCAGACACACATGAAAAATTGGATTTAGTGCTGATAGTTCATGTGTAATGGGTTGTCAAAGTTGAAGTAGAAGGGGTAAGTTTTCAAAAATCTATCATATTGACCTTATACTAAGAATAATCCTTTCAATGGTTAGGGTTATCCAGCTACAATTAAAATTACAGAGTATTTCTAAAACTGGCAATTTCATTTATTAGCATCCTTATCACAGCATGTAGGAATGCAATCGTAAATGATTAACTTATGCAATTTCAAGAACATAATTCAGAATATGCTTGAGTTTAGTCCGCAAATTAAGTTGTCGTTCTCAGCATAATTAAGCTACGCAACTTAGTACGATAACATGCCAATCTAAGGGAAGATTAAATTGTTAAGATATAAATAAGACTAAATCGTTTCACACTCTTTCAAATTCTCAAAATAGTATTCCCAAAATTTCTACTCTGTATGTTAGCAATACTAGTAAGTATTGCTAATATCTTTTCGATATATTGCTAAGTAGTTATTATTACTTGTCTAGACAAGTTATAATGATGTTTTAACACTAATATTTATGTAAATTTTAATAAAACTGCTGGTACAGTATTTCTCTTGATACGTGCACGTATGCCTTTTTTCCTGCTTATTTGAGATCACGAGACGATGACTAGATTTACATCAAGCTTGGTTTCTGAAATTTTTAAATCAGTTATTCCCCCATTTTGCGATCATTAAACTAAAAAAACTGAACGCCATAATTTCCTTCTAATCTACGAAAAATTACTACACCATTCCAATTAAGCAGTTGCATATTACTAGAAGCAGTGTAAAACAATACTCAAAGATGCCGAAAGCAAAATTCTTCATCGATATTTATTTTAAGTTTACGAATACAAACAGGCGTTGTTAATCCGATTTCAACTTATAATAAATTCTATATTTGTGATTACTATATTTTTTCAACTCTAAAATATAGCAATTACTTTTCAAATATTTTATATTTCTCTTTATCATTAAGTAACTAATTCTTTTTCGTAGGTGCTGCCCCAGTTTTTATTGAAGAGCCACAGGACTTTATTGTCCGACGTAATACCGGCATCACACTTCGTTGTAGTGCAACCGGTTCACCATATCCTAAAATTACTTGGTTGAAGAATGGCAAATTACTAGTTATTGACCCTAAAATTAATCCAAGACTATTATTAATTGGTGGTGCACTCTACATTACGAAAGTAACTAAAACTAGCAAATACACAGATGCTGGTATCTACCAATGCATGGCCAAAAATCAATTTGGTTCTGTCTTTAGTCGCAATGCCACCATTACAATAGCTTGTAAGTAAATTTATCTTGCCATAACTTAGCATTAGACGATAATTTATGTACTTAAAAAATGTCTTCTATCCTCTTTTTGCATAATTTTTAATCACTTAATATCAAATCAGGAATTGAATTATCATGTTTGATATCAATAAATGTAGATTTGCGAGATAAATTCCGAATTTCTCCTTCCAACATCACAATAACAACATCAGGAACGGCAAAATTAACCTGCCATGCACCACGAGCAAACCCAAAACCAAGTATTATGTGGGAGAAAAATGGCAAAATTATTCAATCTGGTGGCAGGATTACTTATACTACCACGCCTGAAAGTGTTTTAACTATTCCTAATGTCGATCATTATGATCTCGGATTTTATGTCTGTGTAGCAGAAAATTTAGCTGGTGTGAAACGTTCTGAAGCAGCATACTTGACTGTTAACGGTATTAATTTTACTTAAAGCTTAAAGATATTATGTCAAATTACTAATTGCTGTCATTTAATAAGATATCAATCTCCATTAAATGTCCGTAAGGAAAAAGTTTCTAGTTTTGTTGATTAGGTAGCAGATAAATTGACAACTGCCTTGTATGTAGCATTATAATTTACTAAGTATTTATTCTTAATTGTAACATTAGAAATTCCCAGATTTATTAACAAAGCTCAAACTAGAGTTTCCGTTGCGGTTGGAGCTAAGTTGACATTGGACTGTTCGGCTAAAGGTCTACCAAAACCGAAAATTCAGTGGTTTTATGGAAAATCTGTAATCACTGAAAATGATCCTCGATTTCAACTTCGTAATATGAGATTACATGTCGAAAATATTCAACTTGAAAATGCTGGTACCTTCACTTGTGTCGTAGCGAATGTCCATAAAGAAATCAATCGTATATTTACAGTCAATATCGAAGGTGAGTACTGCCGAAAAAAATTCTAAATTATTAATTACAATATAAAATAAACTGAACGTAAGCAGTATTTTATTTTTAAATTGTGTATTTCTAAACTTTTCCGTCAGAAATAAATATTTAACCGTATTAATAATGTTTTTATTAAAATAAAAAATATTGAACCTAATTGGAATACTAATTCTATGATTAGCAAAGTTCTCCTCATTTTTGAATTCTTAAAATTCATTATCGTTTTGTATAGAGCCTCCCAAATTTACTGTTGTGCCTGTTGATAAATGGGTAGAAGTTGGAAAATTAGTATACTTTAATTGTAAAGCAAATCATGCTCATGCACTCTTTTGGAGAAAAATTGGAACTGATAGTTTGATGTTCGCTGGTCAAAGCGAGGTAGAAGGAATGCATGTATTAAATAATGGGACTCTCGTTATAAAGAAGGTAAGTTTTCTTGTAAACAGTGGCATAAATTTATGAGCAAGCCAAATTGAGCACGAAATTTAGTTGCGGGATAATTGTTATCAAAGTGCACTAGCGAGTATTATTATTAGCACCTAGCATTGACTCATAATAAAAATTTAACGGGTATCCGTGCTAAAGGAATCTCGACAGATTTATAATTTACTAAATGCACCAAGTAGTATAATTCATATATTATAAATTGATATCAGTCATGTTATTAAATAGAAAAAATAAAAAATTTTAGATGCATCCATAATTGTAATTGATTGATATCCCAATTTATTATAACTCTTCGGCGATTGCATCTCTAATGAATCAATATCTATGATTAGGCTGTAGGTCGAGACTCTGGCCTATACCAATGCTCGGTCATTGGCAATATGCAAGGCAGGGATGTTTTAGTAAGACTGGTCGTAAGAGGTATTACATTATTCTATGATATCATAAAAAGCATAGGAATCCAATTCAATTTACTGGATCTTTTCATCTATTTTATCAACTCTATTCATAATATTCTGCGATTACGCATAACTTAGAAAGCGACATCATAAAAATAACTGCGTTTTGAATTAACTTTTAATAATTAGTTGATACAACGGCAACTATACCCGTCATCAAACCGGAATTGTTCAACAAGACAGTCTTCATCAATGACACCGTAACTATTAAATGCAACTCAAAAGGAGATCCTCAACCGATTGTGTACTGGCGTAAAAATGATCAATTATTAAAATCGAATGATACGCGTGTGAAAAGATTATCCTGGAATACGATTGGCATTAAATTGGTTCAGACAAGCGATCAGGGTTGGTATATGTGTGGATCTTACAATAATGCCGGTTTAGTAACAAGTGTGGCCTATCTGAGAGTTGTTGGTGAGTATTTACACATCATATTTACGGAGTAAAGCATACAATTCGAATATAACATTTCGAAAGTTCAGATTGGAAGGTTTTTAATAGGTTATTGACCTCTACTCTATAGAACAATCCTATGGAGTACCTAAAGCTCCCTATAAGCCATATCAAACTCAAATTGGAAGCTCGTTTATTCGTTTACGATGGGACATACCCAAAGACGGAGAAAGAGTACCTGTTCTCGTCTATATTGATTGCTATGAAGTTGGTGGTCGAAAAAAGAGAACTCGTGTTGGGACAATTAGCATAACCGAATTTACAATCCGTAATTTAAAGCCAAATACTCGCTATCAATTTCAGATAGTTTCTATCAATGGCTATGGCACCAGTACATCACCAATGTCATCGATAATTAGGACTAAACTAACATCTACAGCTACCGAATTATCTGTAACTCCAACTCCTCTAAATCTTCAAACAACACCAATATTTAATCGTCTAGAATTTAACATAACCGCTTTATCACCATCTTCAGTACTTTTAAGATGGAATAAGGTATTCTATCCACTGCCTAATAGAATTTGGATGCTCAATTTGCTAATATAACAATCAAATCTGAATTACCGTAGATTACGCCCATACTTATATTCCGCTATACTAAAGAATTTTAAATCTTTTTGGTGTATATTTACTAGGTTGGCAATGGCGAGACTTTTACTTATACTGTTGCATATGTTCAAAAGTATGGCACTCAAGATAATTGGCACACGGTTAATACAACAGCTACTCAAATTATAATTAACCGGCTGGAAGAGCATTTCGAATATGATTTTATTTTAAAAACATATCTAAAGAATAAACAAGTAGACGTTCGCCGTCTCTCCTTTACCATGCCCGAAAGTGGTAATGCAATTTACATATAAGCGCCCATTTGATAATAACTATTTAATGTGACAATATGATATATTTAGACTCGCAGGGCTTGTATTTATACTAACTTATTTACTGCATTTTATCTATTTTAGTTCCAGCTGTTGCACCAGTTCTAATAGACGCATACAAAGTGAATAACACCATTGCTTTGAAATGGGAAAGACTAACCAAGAGTCAATTAAACGGAAAATTTTACGCATATCTCGTAAGAAATTAAAAATGTAAACTGTAAATGTTGATAGTTCTTTTACTCGATACAGTTTATTAACACGCAAAATGAAAATGCAAGCCATGAATTCTTTATTAATAATATTCTACTTTATCGTGTTTGACCTACTTATACTGCTAGTATCTGTAATTTCGATTTTTTTACAGTAATTAGATTCAATCTAGGCCTATATGATAGATTGATAATACTAAAATCTTACATGATAGGTCAATACTAACTGCCAATAATATTCATAATTAAACAGATTCGTTTAAGCTTTCGCGATGGTAGCATAGACAGAAACTTAACTATTTATCGAGACGAGGATTTTGCAGTTATTAGAAAAATTAATGCGAAGTACGAATATTTAGTTTCAATGGCCGTTTCAACTAATGTTGGTATAGGACCTTGGAGCATACCGATAGCAGGTATAAAACTTCAATGAATTACAATCCTTGAAATCAATTAATTATGCTTTATTAACGAAAATTCCGTTGTTATTCCCCAATACATATATATATATATATATATATATATATATATAACCGTATAAAAATTACCGTTCCTTATTAATTAAATATAATTTGAGGTAAATTTATTCCCGTTATTAAACTTCGGCTTCGCACTTGTTATGCCATCTATTACAGTGGGTAGTGGAACAACCGATTCGCCAACTATCTCCTCAGGACAGAGATTTATACTTTCCAATTTTACTTGGCTGATGATCGTATGCGCTATTAGTGGTGTTCTGATTGTAACATCAATACTGATCTGTTGTTGGTGTGTTTGCAACAAAAACAAGAAATCTGTTACTAAAGAAAAGGTTACCGTTGCTGCTGTTACAGATTTATTAGCACAGGATATTCAAAATACAGGTAAAACTATCTCAAATCAGCCTTGCTAATAATACATAACATACTATACAATATATTATGTACGATTCAGAGAGTCAATTTCTTTTGTCTTACTATAGCAATTCAGCGACTATTTAAACTCTTTCCTACAGTATTCCAATTAATACCTGTAACAATCCCAGCAGTGTTGTAAAAACAGGCTCTATTACATAAAACTTATCATTTTCACTACGTATTCATTTCTTCACTTCACTAATGGCTAAATAGTAGTTAATAACTAGTCCGCAGAAACTAATTCTTCTTAATAATTATTTAATAATTAGGAGCGGATAGTAACGCTTGTCGCTGTCACCATCAGGCTTATAATAGTACCGATAATGGCGATAGCAGCATCAGCAGTGAAAGCTACAATGCTAGTAGTTATCAAATATCACAAGGAGACAACGCTTCTGCCCATACAACATCTCAAGCTGCTGTCGATGTAGAGGGAATATCTATTCGAGCTCAAGGATCAACAGGCCATGTTGACAGTATTGGCATCCAAAGTGAATCTACTCTAACAAGCGATCGTCGAGAAGTACGGACTAGTCTCTTAGACGAATATTATTATCGTAGTGTTCGAGGTGAAGATATCGTAGCTGATGTACTTACTCGTAACAAAAGTGCCATTAACAGCAATAGGCATCATTCCAGTAGGAAAACTATCTATCCAACATCAATATTCTCAGAAGCAGCTTGCCAAATTCCTAACAGGAGACGCCATCAACTCGGCGAAGAAGGTCAAGATGATGCTGGTTACACCAGTCTAGGTTCTGGTAATCAACCGACGGCAGATGGTAAGGATAACGATCCACCACCATCATATCATTCGGATGATGATATCGCAGGAGTAAACGAAATAGAACAGGAAGAGAGTACACAAGATAATGTTAATGCAACTGCGGAAAGTTTAATTCGAGTACATTCGCGGCGCCCAGATTTACCAGGAATCGATCCTAACGATAATAAAGCTAAACGTAAAACTGAACAACTTCTGTTATCATCTAAAAATTGCCGCAGCGCTCCAACTTTGGCCAAAGAAAATTCTTCGAGATTTACCGGTGTACAATTGCTGCATATGCCTGATCTAAGTAATAGTTTTACTACTGGAAGTAGGCAATTAAAGAACCACCCACTTCATATATCTAATGAAGGTAGCGATAGTCCATCATTTGGTCACCAAAGCAGCCTAAGTAATGTCAATAGCGATCAAATATCAAATGGTAGCAGTTCATCACAGCAATTTGTGATGGAAATCATGGATGCTAACTATGAAATTAGAAATAGCCTTAGCTTATATACAAATCCCTTACATCAACAAAATCAGTCTTTTACAAGCGATCAATATTTCCAAGAGTATGACATATCTTCGCTATGTCGTCCGGTAAGTAGCCACTGGTTAAAAATATTTACACTTTAGTAAAATAGGGCTATGTAGAAATTGTACTTGTTTTTACTATATCTGTAATATCTGCACATGGATTACTCCTTTTCCAATATTCCAATCTAGTTATTTCATTAGCGTAATTTATCTAAAGATCCATGCATAATAGGCACTCAATTATAATTGCAATATAATTAATTTTAGTCCAGCATACTAGATCTATTTAAAACCAGGAGAACTTCCCGATAGTCTTCACAAACAAGTCATAGCTATAATTTCTCAAAACAAATCAGTCCTGTTAATAAATATTTACTAAGAATGCATATATTCAGGTACCTTGCACTGAAATCGAATCAAGCTTTACTAATTATTCTTTAGACAACGTATCATAATCTTGACATCTTTAATTTCATTACAGTAACTAATTTTATTAATGCTATAATGATTAAATTCTATTTCTATTAGGAAATATCCGATGAAAGTGAGGCACAAAGCGAAACCGAGAGTCAAAATGAAGAACCACCTGTTATACCACCACGCCATCGCTATGATTCTAATGACAGTCTAACTCGAGGGGGCTTTCCTGAAGTTGAGAATAATATATCGAGATATTTTGCACCTAGCCAAAATGAAGAAGAGGAAGAGGTTATAGATTATCCCTATCATCATGAAGAGGTAGCAAAGTCCTTTTTTGATGAAGACTTAACAGACCTTCCATCACCATGTCCTATTGATGACTTAGATAATTTTCCAAATTTGAAATCAGTCTATGCAGACAATAGAAATAATGAAAATTTATTCCGTTTTCCTAATGGCGATTATAAAGTATTAATGCAGCCTACCCATGTAAAAATGAATAGCAGCCCTAGTTCTTCACTCTCGTCATCGCCCCCTTTGCATCCGGCAAGCTACAGTTATGATTACACGCTAAATAGTGAAGTTATTGACGGCGCCAAAAACAAGCGTTACAGGCAGCGACATCAAGACTATAGTTCTACTAATCCACATTTAAGTAAACTATCTACACAATTACAGCATTCTTACGATGAAAAGATATTAAATGACAATCGCTCTCGTAATCAAGACTACCAATTTTCTCCAGTTAAAATTTCTCGATCGCAGCATATTCAATCAATGGAAGATAAACATCATGATGAAATAGATGATATCGCGTCTGTTTTATATAGAAGAGCACCCTCTTTCGATTATATCGATGAAGTAGCATCAGCAAAAATACATCAAGATCGTAATAATATCACCGAATTTACTTTGTAAAGAGCAATGGAATGAATAAATTCAATAAAATAATTGCAACCTTTTAATCGATAAAAAAGAAATCGGAGGTGCTGCTAATTAAAATATGACCTTAAAATCACATATTCAAGAGGGTTAAAAATATTTACGTCAATAAAGTCAACCTAATTAACCAATTATCCAAGATAATGGTTATAATAATCGGTGACCTATAAAGACAGAGATTAACGATGTAGACATCAAAGTCTATGATGAAAATCGTGAAATAATGTAAAAGCAAAATTCTTCCATTTAATTGTTGGTTATGGTTGTTATTCTTGTTTAATTGATGATGATGATAGCGATATCTGGACGCGGTTAAGGGTGACTGTGGATAAGAAATAATTAGATAATATCAATAATTATCTATTGTAGTTTCTAAATTCCATTTATTGTAAACGTAAAAATTGAATCAGAAATACTATTATAACTTTCCTGCATTTTTTTGCTTATTTTTGCATATCATTTTGCTATTAAGTCAAAGATCAGCTGTAATGTTAACCGTGGTAAACAACCAGTTATAGAATTTTACTTCTTTCTTTTGGATGATCTTAATCTGATTTTGAGATTATAAGAAAATTTTTGCTTATTTGTCGCTAAATCTATTAATTATATTTCGCCATAAGCAGTTATTACGGCTTACAATACTGTTATCACGGAAGATATCATTCAGCCTAGTATATCAGTAATACGATACTGTCAAGCCGTCGAAGTTATAAAATATATGGTAAATTATTATACCATTTCAGTGACTTTTTGGTTTCTTAATTTCCTCTAAATTTATTGGCTAATACTGCTGTATGACATGATATTATTAAAAGTAAATCATATATCATTGCTATTAATAACTATCCATTTATTCATTTATTCATTCAATCATCCATTCATTCAACTCTAATTCTATTAATTCTAAATTTATTATAACTATATTAATGTTTATACCATTTTACTATAAATATGAAGATCAATCAAGCATAAAATGTAAAATGTCAAATGAGATATAGTGATCAAACATCCATCTAAGTCATGCTTCCTTCTCTTCCATTAATCATTAATTGGAGATTAATGTATCAATGTTTGTTGTCCCTGCAATATCTTAAAATGCATTAGATAGTTATAACCAAATCTGCCCTTTAATAATGACTGGTTAATGTCAGAAAGATTATGATATTTAGTCAAACCAGTTTTACAAATAAAGTAATCTATCACAACAATTTAAATTTGTCTGCAGTTATCAATACGTCTCACTAAAGGTAATAAAATCTATCGAATATTATACGAGTATGTAGCATTGATTCACTATTTGTTTGATGTAATCTCAAATTCATAACCTTTATTCACCGTTTTAGAAATTATTAAAGTTTATATTGAAAAATTTATCCTTCCGGCTTTGCTTCGTAACTTGTTCGTAACATGTCAGTACATATTTAAGTAGGTTTCATCGTAGTCCTTATATATATCAAGTATGTACATCAAGTTATCAAAAGACTTTATTGTATCATTCTACATGATGTCGATGTTAATAATGATCTCATCATGATTGGCTTTTAATTAATCGTTATTATTTGACGTGTTGATGCATCTTGATAATTGTAACTACGGGACATGATTAATTTTGTTACATAAATAAATATAAATATATATTTACATATATAGATATATGTACAAGTTGTACTTTCCATCTAAGGTTGTCACTGCTTTACACTTTCGTATAATGTTGATATAAATTCATGCTCGCGGTTGATCATGTTTTATTGCTACTGAATTGTAGATTTCAATTAAGATTAAGCGAGATTCATATAATCTATGTACGATTGCTGTCTTATTTTATGTTAAGAACAGCTGATGTTTTGTATTAACTCATTTTATTTAAGAGTATAATGTTATTTTGATCTTGCCAGTTTGATCTTGTATTAATTAATAATAATAAACTATGTTAAATAATAAGCTACTGAAATTGTTGCTAATTATACGGCCAATCGTTACCATAAGGCCAATATTCATCTAAAATAAATATACTTGTTGAATTGCACAATTTCCTTGCAGTCAAACATTAACAATAATAAACTGAATTCAATCTAGCTACAATTACTAGAATAATCATCTTAAGCTTGATAACGATAGTTAATTTTAGCTTCAAGTTAGTAAGATACGTCGTATACAAGATCCAGTACTAAACCTCTTCATGTTCTAGTTCATGGTCAATACGAGTATATACTGTAGGTATGGTATAGAATTTATGATTTTTTCGATTTTTATGGCTATGTAGGTCTCATAAAATATCGCTAAGATTAAAAATACACAGTCAAAATAATTTATTATCGCTTTTCTACTACGGGTATATACTTTGTTCTATTTTTAAATTAAACAATAAAACTTTGTACCCAGATCTTCGAAAAGGCTGAAACAGTTTCTCAGAGCGCTACTTGCATTGAAATTCTACAAAATAATTGTATAGATGGTTACTATTAAGAATAAATACCGCGATATCTAACGCTTATATAGTATACAGTAGTGAAATATCTACAACAAAAATCTATTTTAGCCAACTTGGATATTTATATTTAACAAATTTCCTTAACGGCGAAATCTTATTGATATTATATCTTTCGTGACCTATTTTTCTGCGGTATCTGTTTAAAAATTGTAGCGATTCTACTCCTTTAAAGGACGTCTGCAGATAATTTCTTAATAATCAAATTTAATTTACCATTCTATTTTCATTTTGAGGCATTAATTCTGAGTCACAGCAGCCCATCTCGGTAGCAACGTTATATATCTATACACTTTTGCTTATTTTGGGTATATTGACATGGCGTAGTCAATCATATGCTCTATACGTAGAATTAGTCTTTTGATAAAGTTCAACTATCTCTAATCACAAATTAAATTTTATACAGCTTGATAAGTATGTAAAATAGTAGAATTTTACTTAATTAAATATCTCTAGTTTGATTCTGTAATGGTGTTCGTAACCAACTCCGAATTCGATTAACCAATTAGGTGATATATTAAATTATGATTTTGAAGGTACTATAATAGTACGAAGCGATAATATTCTGGTAAATTCTCGCGACTTCAGTTTCAAATTTTTAAAGAATCATGCAATGCTCATCTTAAATTCCTGTAACTAACTCTAATACCAGCATGCCCGTTAATCATGGAATTTATTAACTATTGAAAATGAAATAACATCGACCTGAAAATTGAATAGATATATAATAATTAAAGCAATAATTCATGTCGATATCAAGATTGACGGGTATATTAGTTAAATTTTATAATAAGTTATAAGCATCGAAATCGCTAAGGTACATTGGTAATTTTATGTCATTAACAGTAATGAATTATTGCTATCAATAATATCGCGATGATGCTACTTTATAATTATTTCTAATGGCTCAAATGCCATTAGCTATTAGGTGAAAGAAATTTCCTTATCAAGTATATGTATACAGCCGGACTAGCATTAGTTAGTTGAAACAATATCATGAGTATTCCAATCATGATTAAATAATTTTAATCATATTATATCAACTTTCGAGTTAATTGTCAAGACAAAATATAGATTTAACTCATATATTTCTATATTGCCAATAACTTTGAACTTGCAGAAAGGCCATAAACATAATTAGAAAAACAGTCTCCATATGTATTTGCTAAAGAGAAAGATTAAGATCAAATATGATCACAATTGATACAAGTTTCAGTTATTCGAAATGATAAAAAATTTCTATGGCTTGTAGGGAGAAACAATTCAGAATCTAGAACAATTAAGCATTGATACTAATAGTAATAGCGAATTTTAAACTATAGATTTCTTAAAATGAATAAGAAGAGTTTTGCTATAGAAATAAAATTTAGTTACTAATGCTAATCAATTTGCAATTAATTGATTACAATAAGCGAACGAGCTTATCAAGCCGTTAAATTAGTAACTTTACAACATTCTACAACATAAATAGCATTTTGAATTTGCCTGATATTCTATTAAAGTTTGTCTTTGATTGAATTCAATCTTTTGACTTTAGCAAAATATCATAAATAGCAAATTGATGATAGAAAGGGGTAATAATAATACATTTTTGTTATACTATAATCGAGGGAAATCGAATATAATAAATAGTAATTTAACTTTCCACATATTTAATAAGCATTATTCGATAGCCATATAGTGATCATTCATTACGTTCCCTCTTGACAAATATAATCCAACTGCTTCGTAACTGAGTATATGCAACTGCTAACGCACGTATAGGACAAGAAATAAATGGTAATGGCAAGACCAATACTATCTTAACGATACTGTATGACATCTAAAAGATCTAGTTTGAATAGAATGGAGATTGTTAGGCGTAATATTTGTAGCATTGTCATTAATTCGTAAAGTCATAGCTAGAAGATAAATCTAATTTAAATATCCTAATATATAAATATGAATAAGTTGACAGCAATTTCTCACTTTAATAATTATTCGCATGTCAACTTAAGAAATAGCCAGATAAAGCAACATCCTCACATATTGTATCAAGAATTTTCTCATTTAATTTTTGTTCAATACCGTCATAACATCAGACTAGCAACATAATTTATTCTATGCAAGATGCGTTTGTATTCATGTGGCCATAATAAGATGCTATTTGAAAATTTTATTATGCTCCTAGGCGTGCCTTTTTTGCATTTATGAACGCATGGAAGACTATTAATGACTTCTCTAGTTTACCTAAGCATGCCCTGTATAGAGAAATTTTCAACGGGTACATATAACTACATAATTTAGTGTCTCAGTCTAACATACAAATAAACTCCGTAGGCTAAAATATTTAAATAGCAAATTGCAAAAATATTAAACTATCGGCCTAACGAAGATTATGTGTTACATGTATATAGAAACTTGAATTGTGTCAGATAAAAGTGTATGGTAAGGAGTTAAGGGTGGAAGATAGTTTTTTATATTATCTTTTATTGTTCTTGTATGTCTTGAGTTTCGCTTGACTTCCCAATGATTAAAAGTCAGACGAAGAAAGAATTAATATTTTAGGATATGATTTCGCTAAGTGGTTTCTTTATCATTGTAGAAATCGTGTGAATTTTCAGAGCTTATGATTTTAAAATGTTGCTGCGACATCGTTTTCTTTAAACATCTAACAACATCACAAGTGATACGTACTTCCAAAATTGATTAAACTGTACTTTGCCTGAAATGAAAAAATAATTTTTAACGTTTATCCAATAAATACCAGGCTAATATTAAAGATTTATAGTTATCATTGCCTGTTTCAAAAAGTATTTAACACCAGTGTACTTAGAAAATATAGCAACATAAGATACCCTAATATCAGAAAATAATTATTTTATATCAAGAACTTACGATGCCCTTCGGCTATCATTGATTTTATCTTTATCTTTTTCTGCTCTTAATTTTTCGCTGCTTTCCTCTTCATTTTTTTCATTATTCGCTTTATTAGCGTCAACTTCTTCAATTTGCTTCAGCTTTTCATATCGTTCCAATGCATCCATCAACGGAATAACCAATAGCTCACGAACATTAGGAAATACCTATTTGTTAAGAATATGAATAATATTGATTCTTAAGTATAGATTATTACATATTTGCATCTAAATGTTAGGGTTCAAATGGACTAGCCCATATTAATATTATTAAGCAAAATAAAAATTACCTCGCTAAATAATTCAAATAATGGAATTAAAACGTATTTTATGAATCCAATTTGTGTGGAAGATTTTGTCACTTTCTCACGATCCATGAAAGGAGCTACAGGCAAACCTTCGGACTTCTCACGATCTCCCTAAATTGGGCATCGCCCGATAGCACAATAGTGATTTAGAAATTTAAAAACCATCAGTACAGCAAGCATTGTCTAGTAGTTTCTAGTAAAAATTACCTGCTGAAAGAATTCCTCTAGTAAGCAGTCTGCCCATGGATCAGAAATCTCCATTGGTCGCACTTCATTAGAGATATCGCAACATTTAATGAGTATCATTTTTAGCTGTAATGGAAAAAATGAATATTTCAGTTAGATAATATAAAAGTAGGAACCAGTATCAAGGTAGAGATCACTTAAGATCAACCATCTAAAATATTAAATATTGACAATTATTATTTGCATGCCACCAGATTTAGTAAGATTAATTCTTACTACATCTATCGTATAATTCTGAATCTGTTTACATACGCAAGTTCGATGTTTTTCGTTGTTGACGTCAAAATCATTAACAGTGCTCCTAAATTGCTCTGTTATTTCGCCGTGCTTTGCCATATCGGTAGCCAATATTAATGAAATAATACCCTGAGTAAACCGATAATGATTGAATCATGAATTGAGACACATTTCGGCATATTCCATTCTGCCTATCACTTCGAAGATACTATTGTATAATTTCTTACCTTTCTGATTTCGCGATACACGCTTTCAGATGTATTAGCAAAAACGTTACATTCAGGCTATTACAAAATTAAATAATTTTGTTTACCATTAACAATTTATCATGTGGTACTTTAGGATTGTTGATATTCTTCAGTCGAAATTTATCCTAATACCTTATTTAAAATCTTGAAGCAAACTGCGCAATGGTGGTTCTCCAGAGGTGAAATATCGTTATAACGTATAGCAAGCTCAGTTTTTGCATTAATTTGGTAGCTATAAAATCAGATAAAAACTATCTTTAATCAAAATTTTGTAGCGCTCTATTATCTCCTTCATAGTATTGAAACATCAAATCAGAAAATGAATTCGATAAAATTATGATAAAGGGATACCATGGGGTACTTCTTATCTACTATATACGGGTAGTTAATTTGCATCGATGCCATATTTGGCCTCAGTACAATTGATACATCAGATTAATAAAATCTTATATTTACTCAGAGTATACGCGTAAAGTAGAAAATAGAACTGATAGAACATAAGTTCTGGCAAAACTATGCTCATTTGATATTACTACAGAGCAGCAATATTTGAGCACAATTCTATCAATGCACGTAAACTTACGCATTATTATAGCCTGGATGATCCAAATCATGACAAACTGCACTTGTTAGCAATGTTGCTAATTCAGCCTTGGTTAAATGTTTATCCAACTGGCATGCATAAATCATCCCATACATCTACATACGTAAAGAATCGAAAATAGTTATTAAAATATAATAACATCCTGAAAAGCCTCACTAAAACTCTGCTTGTGTAGTAATGAGATGATCATTTATTATTGTATTTCATTCATTGGCATTATGATATACTTTCTGCACTGATTTCAAAGTATTAATACAAAATACCAACTTTAAGATAGATAGCAACATATCTCAGGCTTACCATTTGCGTTACACAGAAACAGTGTCTAAAGTTATGGAACGGGTTATTGCGATAATTCTCTTGCACACATAACTAAGATAGTGATTTCGAGATATTAGATAAAGACAGCGCAATGATTATTAATTAGGTGTTATAATGATATGAAATATAATGATAGGGTTTAAATATTTCTTATAAACAGTACTGAAGCAATGACAGTAGCTTATCTTAATTAAGCTACTTACTAGCCAACGTCTCAGAGTTATGGGATTGATATTTAGATCACGAACTATATCCAATTCATGATACATGTGCTCCAATAAGCTCAACATCTGCAATTTCAAGAGCAAATACCACAAGAAGAGAAATCAACGCATTGATAGCTTTTTCAGTTTTAAATCATGAATTCTTCTGCAATTCAGAATTAGAAAAGGGATGAGAAAATTTTCTTAAATATTAACCAACCTCATTCGGTTCCCATTGCCAGATATCAAAGGTTGGTTTCTTCAAATAATCGATTGTTTCTTGTGAAAGTGTATACTAAAAATAACGTAATTAGATGTTATTTAAAATATATATGTTACGTATATATAATTGGGATGATATTGTAATACTAAATGAAATTTAATTAACAAGAAATTCTTCCGACTAAGTAGCAGCCAAAATCTTCCTTAAAAGATTTGTTACCCTACCTTGGTATAAAGTGGAATTTTACTTCGACTTATATTGACTTTATCTGGTTCATTATAGATGTACTGCTCCGAATTGTACTTTCTGTAAAGATAACGGTCAAGAAATAATTAATTAGTAATGCAATTTAGTTTTTTTAATTTTTATTTTTCAATACTGAAATAGTATAACCTAAAAGCAATTATTAGCATTTACCAATTAGTAACATAATTAATCAGTTTACTATAGATAACCAAGTATTTTAAGTTTTGAACGTATTTTAAAGCACAAAAAATTTAAATTATCAGTAAAATCTTAACTTGAAGTTAAATATTGCTTTGGTAATTCTATAACTAATTATGACTACATTTAATAAATAGCTAATACTTATACATTGTTATTTTTATATATCATAGGTTAGAGATTTATTTTGTGCATGCTTTACATTTGTTATCGCCTTACTATTTACAATAATCAACACATAATCTACGTGTTAGAGTTATATAAACGAATTGTTAGATCATGTTATATATGTTACGTCGATGTTGTGAAGGTTAGAGGTCAATTTGTTGGTTGTTTACGTAAGAATTTATGATTGTAGGTTAAAGATAAGTTAGCATGTATGTTATAGAATGTAACTTTAAGCGCAGGATAATAAATATTTTACACACGATATTGCAGTCTAGTCGTTATTAGTTGAAATAAATAAGTGGTTGATTCAACGTTAAAAATGTAACGGGAGACGTAGTTATATTTACCGTAATGGATAATCGACAGAACTAGATCTGCAACGGTCAGATAGAGACAACGTGATGGTGAGAGAAAGAGAGAGAGCATGAGATGTGGAAGCGAGATAGAAAGTCAAGTTTAGATGAAAGTTTTAGTTACAGAAAATATACTACGACCGTAACCATATGAATCTCTTCGATACAATATAAAACTACTGCAACAATACTTTCAATTATAGAGATGCAGATGTTATTACTCTTACTTACAGTAAATCCACCACAACATAGGACCGATTCCAATATTTATATAATATATTTAAACTTAGGATTTAAGTGCATTAATGTAATAAGTGGTATCAGGTTTGACTTACTTCCTTGCATACATCATCTCGCGGAGTTGATTAATTTCTTTCTTACATTTTTCAATTTCGACAGCTTTAAGGCCTTCAACAGCTGTATGAATACAAATTAAAACACGTCAATTTTCTAGAATACGTGATATAAGTGAAGTTTAGTAAAAGTTTTAAAGCTGTATTGTTATCCTGAATGCTAGTTTGGGACATTTGACGTTTGATATCAAAGTAACTTAAATGCATAAGTAATTACACTAGCAAGTGATTATCTAACAGCCTATAATTATAGCCTGCTCTTAATATTTTCTGACCCTATTTTGGGATAAATGCATGGCAATAACTTATTACTGAATTAATGCATCAACTACTTTTAACTATTACTAATTCCTGATCTTCCAGATGAAAAATATAATGAGTCTATCACGAAGTACTTGCGGACTAAAGTTAAATATCTACGGTAAATTTCAATTTATAACTTCCTAGCTAGATTGTAGTTACTAAACTCAATTAGTCGAATCTCCTATTTTATTTATTGAGGACGATAAGCTAATGCCATCAGTGCTCCTAACTAGAAACTATAGTATTATCCTTTATGCATAAGAATCGATCCATAGTCAACGTCGCTAGTAATCTTTGCACCTAAATATCTTTTGCTCTTAACTAGAAACTACAGTATTATCCTTTAGGCAAAAGAATCGATCCATAGTCACACTTCGCTATTAATCTTTGCTCATTATCTGCTCAGTTAAGTATTACACCTCTAAGTATGCAACGAAACAGATCACTAGATCCTAAGTATTACCTATCAATAACCTAACCTATTATCATAGCTATGATCTATTTTACCACTAAAGCTAGTTTGTGTTATGATAAAGCCTAGCACCTTACTATTCTCTCATTTAAGGGGATATGTATCCGAATCTTAGCTAATTAACCATAAACTGAACAGTGCAAGACTGAATACATTTAATCAAAGCTGTTTCTGTTATTTCGTTCTACTTCACTTGCGTACGAGTACATTATACTGTATGCCAAATTACCGGTATGCTGGAATTGAAATAATTTATACCTATTTTAACTATTATACGCTAGTATAGTATCTAGAAATATACTATTACCCTAAGGCAATTACAGAGTCAAATTAAACCTTTTAAACCTTTTAAACCTGAAATTAACTATCCTAGAATTTCTATTTATGGATTTGCGGCCGAAGGTGTCATGTGATGGCCATTAACTCACTCTCTACTCTCTTCTTCAACTCACTCAAGTGGTCTCTAATTTCTTTTCTTAATTCAGTAATGTTAAATGCCCTATCGGAAAAGTTCCAAATGAAATTAATGTAATGTACAAAATAGGTTATTATTTTAGAAACCCGAAAGATGACTTTAAAGGCATGCATTGCATCAATATTTAATAAATTTACCTTACAAAATGGTCGGAAACCTGTGTTAGAATTCCGGCAAGTCTATCATTTTCACTGACAACTGAATCTTCTGCAATCACGGTTGCAACATAAGGTGCACTAAAAATAAAATAGAAATGATTTAATGTCGAAGGGAAAATAATACAAGAAGTTATCAATTGACTTCAAATCGCGGAGAAAGCTTATTTCTTAATATTTAATTGCAGAAATTTGAGACCTTAATACTTAAGATAGCAGATAAATAGTACGTAGACAGCAACTAAACAACAGATAACCTAATACAGAATATACTAAAAGATATCTTGTTAATCTACCTTTCGTCATTTTCCGGTACATCCCAACTAATCGCCACTAGTGATCCATCATCACTGGATAACTGAACTGATTTCCATCTAAGTTAAATAAATAGTAAATACAATTTCGTTACGGTGAGTTCCTAACAGCGAACGATTGCAGTTTTACTATTTATTATCTTAATCTAGTCAGTTAAGCGACATTATCTATCATTCCAGCTGTCGCTTTTTCGCTAGAGTACTACTACGCTCCGATAATACTTCAAATTAATCGAAACTTCCCTTCCATTTGAGAATAATCATATTTATACCGCCAATTACTGCCGACTAAAATATCGTGAGACAAGAACGAAAGGGTGCAGACACCGTTCTCTTTTATCTCACTCAAAATAGCATTCAATAATTGTTACCGTAAGCAATTCATTAATTCGTAAATGCTTAAAATCAACCAATTGAAGTATATTAATTACATCCTAGTTACAACTGTTACTATTCTTTGTCATTCAATCTCTATTCGATTCGTAAATTTAATATTTAGCTTTTAAAATAAGCTCTTGTTTATTACTCCTTCTTCCTGAAAGCTAGCCTTGTATATCACTTCATTCCATCGATATGCTGACTTTTTCGACCCCCAAAATCATGTTGACTTATGGTACTTCCTTATTTTACGTCCGGACTAATAGTTTTTACTGTTATCATTTTAATGTAATTTTGTATCCTCCATTGATAGGAAAGAATAAGATTAGCTCTCCATAGCAACATAAAACGTCAATTCTGCATAAATCTCTAATACATTCATTCATTATTCTACCCGTACGTACTCTAGCTATACTACCTTATTCCTGTATCGATGGTATAGTGAGCAAAAATTAAATCTCATTTATCTACGATATTGTCAATTTATCTTAAACTGTAAAAGCGATTAAATACGTATCAGCCCGCCGCAAAAAGATCAATTTTAGGCACAGTAGGGGTAATCGTCAGTACAGAATTACATATCCGATTTAGAATACTAATGCAACATTAGTGAAGTGAATTAGGTTATTAAAGGACAGTAAATTCTAGTCTGATGCTTATTTTCCTATCCGTAAATGTCCATTTGTGGTCAATTTTATCAAATTTTTTTAAAGATAAGAAATTTGATAATACCGTACTATCGAGATTTTAAGGTACTAACATCATATAAAATATCCTAGAATTCTATGCAAAGAAAGCCTATAACTTCTATCATTTACTTTTTTATGCCATCGTTATTACGCAAGAAATGTTGCTTTACTTTAATTACATGTTACTAAGATTGCAGGAATAGCAGAAAATTTGACGTTATTTTATTTTGGCTTAACAAGAAACATCAAGGCAATTACTGCTAGGCGAATTCAATTGTTAAGACTTTAAATATGATTTGGCTATTTCTATAAAATATCAATCTTGTATATCTCAAGTTTATCATACTAAAAATAAAATTGCGTAGTTTAATAGAGGAAATAAAGTAATGTTTATCTCACCCGATCCTTTATTTTACTGAAATAAACTATTATATGTAATACGGCTTTACGTTTTATTGAAGACTTTTCTAGTAGAGTTTTATGTTACTTCCACCATATGACGTCAATCTGATGGCGTTCTATTTGTTAAGCTCTTTTTTCCAAATTTATTACCGTAACTGATGTAAATGTAAGGTAATAGAGACTAATCTATAGACTATTTAATATCCTTAGGAAATGGATACGTAAATTAAATGACGTCAGCGGATGACTATTATAGCTTAAAGACTGGTCTTAATAATTTGTTAAGGATTATCCTACCATAAACGATACTGGCTATACTTTTCAAATTAGCCGCTGCTGGTTACAATTTGGGTATTCGATGAGTATACTTCGAATGATTCAGCAATAAATTCGTTCATTTGATATTTATACTACCCCTTTCGAAACTGCAACCTTATTTAATCTTGTCTACGAGTACATTAAAGGAAAAATTCGGAGCCTATCACTAAGCTCCAATAAATGATTGTATATACATTTAACTCTATTCGGAAAAATGGTCTATGTGTAGAAATAACATATCAAACCCACCATTTAATGACGATTAATGCAAGATCAACAGACTGCCCGAATAATGCAGTATTATTAAATTATAACTATTCTCTATTAAAATCACATAGAATTGAAAATACTAATAAAAACAAATAAATTTTTAAAATATATTCATTAACACACACAATAATAGAAAATAAATCCATAGTAAATTGTCGTGGTATTTAGGGCTATCTTCACTAATAATCTTTTCAATATTTAGTAAAGAATTTTGTGTCCCTTTAAATGGAAAGTGACCTGATTTACTGCCATCTAGATTTATTTTCAATATTTTTACTCACATGTAATACAAGATTAATTCCTAGACCTTCGTATGTTACGATAAGTCTTCTATTTATACATGCTAAAATTACCTAGCGCTAATCAAAGAGTCCATTTCTACCATTTATTTTATCAAGTATATATTGTAATGACAACGAAATCCTTATGCTAGTATGCTTGCAACCCTATAGTCTGTAAGCGCATCTTGTTTATGACTACTTATCTTTAGTATTACTATTCTATTGCACAGAACCAAATTTTAGGAATTCCATTGTATGAACAGCAGAATTAGATATTTTGATCCCTTCAGCATTTAATAAACTGGGGATAATAATAGTTAATGTTGGTGTCATCGTGGCGTTATAAGATGAAAGCATGATGATTGACAGGGTTGATAAAATTAGTGCTTTTCAGCTGGAACAAATCGATTGCCAAATTTCTCTTATATCATGAATGGAATGACATAATCACATTGCAAGAACAAGAGAAGGGGGTGGGAGGAGTAAAATTTAAGACCAGGATCCGTCTGAAGGGAGTGAATTTATTCGATATATAAGTCATCTGATCTGATTCAGGACTATGTAGCAATGGATATGAAACTAGGCGCAAGAAAAAAATAATATTTGGCCACTATAATTATCTAGTTGTTAATACTGTATTTTGATTTGGATTTGTAAAATATGATTAACAAGGAATGTTACTAATAGGAGTTAATCGTAGATGATAAGTCTTTTATATTATGATTATCTATGATCTATAAGTGCTTTTTTGTTAAAAATGAAAGTGCAAATGATATAGAATATTTCACAATGAATGGTAGATCAGCATGATTAATTCTATCAATAATGTGCTCTAAGTATGAATTTATTATCTGGGCCTAAACTGAATGTAGTGTATGATTTAACAGCAAAAAAAGGTTACAGATTAAGTACTAGTAATGCAGATATGCTTATCGTATAATACCTTATTATATTACTTGATTAAAATAAATTGAAAGAGTCATAACGAACTTACTGTTGAACGGAAAGCATCGCCTATAGCTAAGCTTCCATGAAATATTTTAATCTAGAGTATCCTTAATTCAATGCGCTCCCGATATTAGTTAAAGAAGGCGTAGCTCCAGAATAACCAGAGAGCTCATACGCACTCGTATACTAAATAGCCTCCCTACTAGTGATAAAAACCTACTGTTATAATTCTTAATGCCTAAAACAGGCTAGGAAGCAAATATATATGTAGCCTTAGTGTTTATCAGGCCAACTTCTAGCTTTTAATCGATGAGAGAAATGAAAGTTAATCAAGTTAGACATAAATATCATATCGAAATAAGTGTTTTTTACGTATGTATGCTAAAGCTTAGGTAGAGAAAAAGCTGTGATTGTCATTCTGTGTATAGGAAGAAGGGTCAAAATCACATTTTATTTCATTATAATTATTATAGTATTTCTTGTGTTACGAAATTTTTGTCATTCTATTCTACTTACTTGGTGACTCCGCAGGCTACAGATACCAAATCTTTAAGTTCAGTAGGCGAGCAACTTCGAGTAAATTTTAGCTAGAATATTACGATAAAAGAAATTAACATGGGCTATTGATCCTGTTAAAACTATAAGGAATAACTACTATGAAGTACGGTTATCATAGCTGTCAAAAATATGAAACACTTAGCGAATCTAATTCACCCCACAAATTAACTAATTGCAACCATATTATAAAGCAAGTACGTATTTGATAGCTTTATTCATGCCATTAAAGGAACACATTTGTTCCTTAAGTTCACAAACTTAGGTTCAGATTACGTTATATGATGTTGTAAGAGATTGTTAAAAAATAAAAGGCCTAAAAGTTCATGAGGTTTAAATTGTTAAACAAACTATAATTATTCTTCATGATTCTATAGATATAGTAGCTCATCATCTGCTAACAGCTGTTGCATATATGAAGAAATAGCTAATACTACATTAAATTACACTGTTTTAGTATAGATGATATCAGTATGAAAATACAGTAGTAAGAATTTCGTAAATCTTAGTATTAAACTATATCTTCTCTTCACAGTAACAAAATTATTCAATAAAATTCTATATGAGATTAGGGATAAATTTTCTTGTCTGTGGAATTAAAGAAATTTTTACCAAGATAGAGTACGGTATTTCATTGCATTAGACTTTATGGAACGAAATTCTTCCCAAGTTTTATTAAACTTTCTTCTATTTTATTTTAATATTTTGAAATTTATCTAGTTTACTGTCTGTCTTAGAAGTAGCTTCTAATCTAGCCTCCTAATTCTCTGATTATATTATAATGAGAAACTTGCATGACGTTTTGCTAAATTACCCGCAGTTTTAGACAAAATTTTACCCTAGAATTGCTTAATAAAGCAATCCAACTGTTTTTAAGAAAGATGACAATTAGCCGCTTCAACTTCCATGCTGTATATTATTTACATATAAACTAATAATCTGTAAAAATAAATTTATGTGCATTAAAATAATACGAAAAAACTATCGTTATCTAAGCAAATGTTCTTTTTTAACGCTGATTGGATACCGGTTAGTTATGAATTTGACTTTAATTACTCGATATATGTACGTAATTCTATACTTAAAACACTACTAGCAAGAATATACCAAGAACTAATGTTCTGCGCTAGCATATCAACTACTAAACAATATCCAATAATGTAAGCTAAAAAGTGTTTGAAGTCGCTGATATAATCTGGATACGAAAGATTTATAGACTACTGTCTTTTTACTGCGAACATATAACCCAGATGACTATAAGGAAAACCTGAATAGGATACCATTAGAAAATTAAGTAGAATCGATTACTTACACGTTGAGTCTTGCCATTAGCACGGATATAAATATTTCTAGTTTTATTCTTGGAAGCTCCGCTACCCATCTTCAGTACATGTTTTAACTTGAGAAACGACAAATACTAAATGGTTTAGGGATTATAATCTTGGTTTTAATCCTTTGATATTCAGAACTCTATCTATTCTTTCTTTCCAAGCTAATAAACAACTAAACAATAGCCTAAATTTCGTCTTTGATTTGACCTATTGAATATAAGATATGAATATAATCAAGAGAAAGACATGCAACCAAAGTAAATGATCCATTTTCAAGCTTAAGGGCTAGACATGATCTAATATTGTCATAATTATAAATATAAAAGCAGCGCCAAAGGGCTAATAAGGCTGTCTCAAGATAGAATCTAGCTATTGTTGCTAGCTCCTTCGTTATACAAAATGTTATTAACATATTATTTGACATGAGCGGTATATTTAATTATTTAATCGAGGTATTGATGGAAATAAATAGTTTTTCTAACTTGCAAGGAAATAAATAATAATATAATGTTATGAGAATTGGTTTAATAAAATATGTCTATCAATCATTAAACGACAAACTAGATAGAAAAATCAGTAACTAGTAATTATTCTATTTATGATAATAAATGATAGTTTTCTCATTTATTATTCTTCTGTTTAAATATAGAAGCGCTGACGATAGCTTGCGCCTTCCATTTCTATTATAACTCTATTTGTCAAACAAACATGTACCATTCATCTTTTTCCAAGTATCGATATTCTAATTTTGTTGATATGCATTAGTAGACGTAAAGATACTGATGTAATTTACAAATTAATCGTCCGACAGGCTAATAATGAGAACGCACTTATTATTGATTACTAGTTGTTCCTTTTAGAAGGGAACGAGTAGAAAATACGACCTTGAGCCGATGAAATACTGATTACTAATCCTTCATGACTAATTAATAATTGTCTTCTTCATTCATTTATTACACCTACAAGCTATTTGTTATCGTACCTGAATAGTCACAGATTTTAGCTGAGTTAGCCTAATACAGCGTACCTCTAGGTATAATGATAATGATAATATTAATAACGTTTCCGTAACTTTTCCAATAAGAATACTGAACCCTACGCAAACTGATCATCAAGTCATCATAAATGATTAACTTAAGCAAGTTTTTATCTGTCTACTGGTAGTAAAGAAATACCGTGTCCCTTAAGATTTATAAATATATACCTAAATAGGATTGGTCTTTAACCTTTCTAATTCACAATTTTTTGCTTGATACCGGATAAGTATAGTGCAACTCTTAATTTTTGTTAGCTTTCAAGCTGTATGATAACCTAGTGTTATGACTTAAATTAATTAAACCGCACACTCTAACCTAGATATGTCGTAGCAAACAAAAATTATTTTTCTATCGCTACATTCGATCACAGGACTTAAAAGCTCAGAATGGAAATTCAATGATTGATAAATCGAACTATACGATAAGCTAATGTAACAAACTAAATTAACGAAGTCGCACACTCTGGCCTAGATATATCGTGGCAAATAAAATTATTTTTTTCTATTGCCATATTCGATAGCAGAACTTATCGAAATTCAAATTTTGATAAATTGAACTATACGATAACCTAATGTAACGACCTAAATTAATTAAACCGCATACTCTAACCTAGATGTATCGTAGCAAACAAAATTATTTTTCTATCGCCATATTTGATAGCAGGACTTATCGAAATTCAAATATTGATAGATCGAACTGGGCGATTACCCTATGTAGCGACATAAATTAATTAAACCATAAACTGTAACCTAGATATAGTTTAGCAAACAAAATTTTTTTTACGGTTGCTATGTTCTATGGTAGGACATAAAAGTGTAGTATCGAAATTCAATGATTGATAAATCGAATTGTGTGATAACCCAATCTATCGACGTAAATTAATTAAATCGCACACTCTAACCTGGATATAGCGTAGCAAATAAAAATTTATTTTTCTATCGCTATATTTGATAGCAGAAAGTAAATAGACAGTATCACAATCCTACGATTAGTAAGGTAGTTGATAAAATTGTATCTTTGTTGTTACTTATGAAGATATTTATTCCTATTACGTACTCATATGTCAGACCTAGAACATCTTATCTAGTATTAGAGGATTGCTTTAACATTTTATAATATGTCATTAAAATTCACGATTAAAAGTAAATTGCTTTAAAACTACTATTTACGATAATCTCGACAGTTTACTAAAGAATCGAAATTTCTTAAAATATTTATTAGATGTAGCAGGCGTATCCGTTTATAATTCTCATCTAATAATAGTTTAAAGCACTATTACAACGTTACTAGACTTGATATTCTCTATATAGCAAAATATAGGATAACAGTTTCAGACAATAGCTAATAATGATAGATTTAAGGAAAAGTTACATACTGTACGCTAGCGTAACGATCACTCTGAGCCAATGTTGGAGTTTAATTTTTCAGAAGATGTAGTCTTATTTTATGTTAATAAATAAATACAAATAAACTAAGAATGTCAGCAATAGCATTGGCCTATTTAAATCTTATTTCCATTAATGGGATTTAGGAACGTCTATACTATTAAAAGTCTATATTAGGAACACAAATGCCTGTAATTTTTTAATATTTGTAAGCAAACTCAAGAAAGAGTAAAACTACCATTAGCTAAATTCAATTAGGCTGTCTCGTCAACTTCTGTTGAAAACCCGTATTTTTTTGTAAAAAATTCATATTTCCTTTACATACTTGCTAGATCCATGCATTTAGCCTTAACTTACCAAAATCTGACTAATAGAACCAGTAGGGCGTGTAATTTCTTTTTAGAGATTGTTTGCAAAATGTTCAATTTTCAGTAACAATAGATTAGTCTGTAATAAATATAACATTTATATTTAATTCGGCAATGTTGCTACTATTAGCCGATTTTCGGAAAATAATCTAAGAGACTGTTCATAGATGCGTAGTTTTAATTTATATGCATCGTGATTATTTTTAGCAACCAAGAAACAAATTCTTTATGCGAAGATAAATTTAATGATTACAACATCACATGTTATTTAGAATCAAGCGGGACGTTCTCATCATTATCATAGTTAGCGTCTATTCGTTATAATTTATTAGCAGTAGCTACCATTATTCTAAACTACCAATAGAATCATCACCTCGACTATGACTAATTTTCATAATATTCCACTTTTAATAAAAATCCGACGATAACAGGAATAGATTTTGCAAATAGCTTAATAAATATCGCTATCAAAAGTAATGGGATAGAAAACTATGCATATTCAGTGGTATCCAATGTAATTTTAATAATATCATAGGATATATGTTCCAGAAATTAAAATGTCCCAGTAAGGACTGTAAATTACTGAGACTATCGTGTTATTTTCGACTGACTGTTAATTAGTTCTCAAAGAATCATACAAGCAAGTTTATTTTACTGTCAGAAAGAAATGGTAGTCAAATATCACCTAATCACGCTTCAGAAACAGAAACACCATAATTATTTATCAAGACAGATAAGGTAGCCAAAACTTTAGAAGTAATTTGAAATAGTTTCGATTAAGTCAATTGATATTACAAAAAATTAATATCCTAACTATGAAACGTAAAAATAATATCATTACAGAAAATAGCTTAGCTTTATAGAAGAAGGGAAAACAGTTCTTTGCATTGTCATTTCCCGTGGATTGAGTGTTTTTCCGATATAATCCTTAAATTTTCAACTTAATTTAATATAATTTGGCAGTCTTATGATAAAACTTTGTTCATTAGTACAGTGCTCACTATAGTAATCTCTTAGAAAACATGCAACAAACAAGGGAAACAAAATCCTATTCGTCATTTCTGGGTAAATAGACAATGCTCATATGTCACAGTTAAAAGTATTATCTTCAGAATCTCTAATAATTTCCTTTATGACGCTTTTACGATGGCAAATTGAACGTCATAATAACGGTAGTAATCTAATGCGATAGTAGATAATTGAGGATAAATGGGAAAGCTCTAGTCTAGTCTCCTTTTACTCCATAATCTGTCTATTATTTTCACCTAAATGAATTTATTACCATTAATAGTTATGTCGATAGATATTTTTGATTATTAACCACAGGATAAACTAATAACCAAAACTTTGCCTAGACTTGCTAGATAATAGTTTGTTTATAATGTGGAGCAATTCTATATAGTCCTAATATTACTCTTTAGGCCATCCTTTATCTTTCAAAATATTAAATTGCTTTTTTAACATCATATGATGAGATCATTGCTCCCTCTTTCTTTTAGTAGTTCCTGATTCCATTAAGTTAAAGACTATTTCCTTTTTCATTAATTTTGTAAAATAAGACGAATTTGCAAAGATTTTAACTTAGTCTCAATGTAAGGCCACGACATAACTGAACTCTTAACATACGAATAAAATTATGGAAAACTTTTACAGTTTACTGCGTTTAGTTGATAATCGTTGATTAATAATTTCTACTTATTCATGTAAAAAACGAAGGTAAATGAAACTGCGAAAAGAAATTGTAGATCTAGAAATTGGCTACTGTACCAGTATCAAAATAAACTCACTCCTTTCCAGATCATAGAAATATCATTAAATTCTTTGAAAGGCGGTACTATTTAATTATAGATAACTTGATCAAACCTTTTCCTCTATCCTAATTTATGTTACTAATTCGCAGATAGTTTGACAGTACCAAATCTAAAAATTAACCAAATAGACTTTAATAAACCGAATTTTTCAATTCCATGATTAATTTAATTCCTACGAAAAGCATTGCGCGATTTAAAATTCGGCTAGGCGAATAATTTAGCTATTAACCAGTCAGGAAAGTAAAATATTACATTTAGTACCTTAAAACTGTGCATACCTTGGATAGTTTGAATCGTAATATCAGACCCATTATGATCGCAACTTGATAAGTTGTAGATAATTTATACGACCACAAAGCATTCATATGTGTAAATTCTTATTTAAAAGCTGACTCTATTTTCAGTAGCCTTATAATGTAGCAAAATGCAAAACGGCAAAAAATGTTGAA